AGAGAGAGAGAGACGCGGCTGGCCATATAAAGCACCTTCGGACGTTTGATTTCTTCTTATCTTTTAAATTGCAAAGGGAACGATTTGATCTGTTTTCTTTTCTGGACTTTTTTTTTTTTTTGCAATCAAATTGAACCAAATTCCATCCGACTCCAAGCCATCTTACCTTTTTTTTTTTTGCGATTTTGGGCTTTTTTTTTTTTTAGGGCAACGAAATCGAGCGAAATTCTGTCAAACTCTAAGCCAGATTATGTGTGTGTGTGTGTGTGGAGAGAGAGAGAGAGAGAGAGAGAGAGAGAGAGAGAGAGAGAGAGAGAGAGGCTCCTGTATGTTTGCTTTCCATCTTCGTGATATGTTACATATCTTCCACGTTTCCTCCCTCTTCCCCGCCTTTCACATTCCCTGATCCTCTCGCCACGGCCGCAGCCGCGGCGGGTCCTCTTGTTACTTTTTGAGTTAATATGGTCGGACGTTAGTCCTGGGCCTGGAATTCGAGGTCCTTTTCCAGGACACCCCAGGTTTTAGCCCCACACGAAGTTATCTCCCCTCGCATAGAGCCTAGTTGCCTTGCCCACCGGGGTACCTAGCCCAAAGGCCAGAGTTGCCACAGGGGCCGAACGACATATCCTTCAGCCGTTCAATATAATGAAGGATGACCATTCATGATACATTCCTTCAGCCATTCAATATCGTGAGGCCGTCATTGCGACTGCTTGCGTATGTCGGCATTGCTATTTGATATGAGAAGGCCCTACGTCCGTGCGGTTTATATTAAGTCTCGCGCGCACCGTCTAACCGATTCCTGTGCTTAAAGGTTATGGGTCAGATACAAAAGGGACTAGGAGTGTGTTGCTTTCCTTTTGTTTATGCGTGTGTGTGTGAGTTATTTTAATTTTTGCTTTAGCGTGGTGTAGCGCGTGGTGAGTGGGATGTGTCCTAGTCGACCGACGACGAGTCGCGCTTGGGATATCAGCCCCCAATGCGTCGGTTCGCGTGTGGGTTCGATAGAGCCGTAATACCACGAGTACCCCTTATGCTACAGCGAACGAGAAACGCCCTCGGCTGGTCCACCTCTGCGATTGCAACTGATTAGCTTTCGTACTGTGGACTGGTAGCTCGGCAAGGATACGCCCACCGAAGGGAGGTGACAGCTCCGCAAGGTGGACGTAAGGTGTGCCTCGCGTAGGCCCTATCCTGTCGTAGGGGCTGGCGAGAGGTATGGATGGCGCACTCGGTCGGAGCGGCTTGCGGAAGCTCCATGTGTATTTCGCAGAAGGTGTAGACCAACTCCTACGTGATGCGGTCGGGAGGGTCCCGCCCTGCCTCGTGCGGAGATGGACCGATGCGCTTGACGACGCTGCTTGACCTACCACTCGACGGTCCGACGTAACGTGATTTGGTTATGATAAGGCAGCCTGGTACAATTCGGTTAGAGATTGCGCCCAAACGCACTCCATTGTGGACTTGCGGATTTTGAGACTGTGCGCCCGTGCGCACTCCATTGTGGACTTGCGGATTTTGAGACTGTGCGCCCGTGCGCACTCCACTGTGGACTTGCTGATTTTGAGATTGTGCCATTGTTGCATCCCTGCCGACCGCCGACCCCGACAGTC